TTTTTTATAAAAAAAAAAAGAATTTTTTAAACAAAAAACCCTTTTTAAAAAATTTTTTTTTTTTTTTTTTTTTTTTTTTTTTTTTTTTTTTTTTTTTTTTTTTTTTTTTTTAGAAAAGAAAGCGATAAAATTGGATCTGGTATGAACAAATTGCTTTAATTATAAACCAGGAATTCCTTTGTATGCATCTAAAAGGGAAGAAAAATGATCAAAACTATGAAAGCGAGTCAGTTCAAAGGACAAATCGAAACCCTAAAACTTTTCAATTGATGCAAACAAAAAGAAAAGATTCAAATCTTTAACATCAGGAAAGCCTTTCCTTCTAGAAAGTGACTTAATTAACAACTAGAATGTGTTGCTATTGTTGGATTTGAAGTCTCTGTTTGACCGTTTGAACTGTCTTTGACCCGTACTTCTTGTTGGTATTTTTATCCATCAATCATGACTGGCTTCCTTTTTTCTCATTTACTGGCAGATAAATGTGTGCAAATTAAACAGACAAAGGTTAAAAATCATCAAAATGTTTGATCTCTGAACTTCCAAACAACAAACTTGAGAAGTTTGGCCTGTTAATTATTCTTTGAAATTAGAAACTTTTTAACAAGAAATTAAGAAATTATTTACAGCAGTTAAAGTAAATAATGTGTTTCTCAGTTTAAATATTTCTAATGGTGCCTTTAATGTAAAATCACACAAAGAAATGAAGGCAAATTGATCCACATTGGAAGTCACAGGAGTGAATTGGGACGATCCAGGAAATAAGAATTGAACAGGAAGGAAACAAAAAGCAAAGAAAACCAAGAAACTTGCCGTCAGTATTTAGAAAGCTGAAATTCATTTGCATGTATCAGGAGGAATACTGTTTAAATTTTTAAACAAGTTTTAATACAGAGGAATTGAACAAGGTGGTGTGATTAGTGAAAACAATCACACCACGTCGCAAAATGATTTAAAACGGCATTTCTAAAATTTGAATATACTGGAGCAATAAAAAAAAAAAAAAAAAAAGGGGAAATAATTTTTTTTTTACATTTTGGAAATTTGTATTCAGTTCGCACTTTATATAATGTTATTTCCTAATCAAGAACATACCTGTAGTGTTGCTTTGATTCTTTCATGCATGTTTGAGAAATCATTTAGTCTCCATGGCAACCATTCAGCTGAACAAAACACCTAGGTGGACCTAGCCCCGCCTCCAAGGCGTAGCTCCTTCAGACTAGCCAGCAGCGATTAGCAGACACCTGGTGGACCTGATCTTCTGAGCTCATTACAGGAGCTACTTCTAAGTGAAATGCTGGTTAAAATGTTGTTAAAGGGTTATGAGAGGAGAAGGGTTGTGATGACTTCCTGAAAGCAGATCTTCAAAAAGAGCAGGAATTTTTAAAGAGACAGAGGCCCAATTTCAAGGTGCTAAATTTAATTTAAGTCATATTTAGAATATATAGCATTTATATAATTACTGAAAGTAACATAGTTGAT